CTCTCTCTCTCTCTCTCTCTCTCTTGTGTTAGCTCTCAGTCTCATTGATTTGGCTACCTTAGGGCTGCGTTCCCCGCGCCCACGCGGTAGACAATTTCAGACCACGGCCACCTACCGGTTCCCAGGAAAATGCCACGGGCAAATACCGGCCCTGCATTTGCTTGAACTGCCCCTCCCCCCCTAAATGCCAGTGCCTTTTGAACGACCAATGGGCCCGAATGAACGACCGGTATAACGAACGACGATGAAAATGTCTCGGGGGAGAAAACGCAACCCTGACGGGCTGCGAACACGGGGCTTGAAATTGACAGTCATGAGGCTCAGTGCAGGCTCGGAGGGCCAGGGCATGTGGGCCCCAACTCTTCTCTCTTTTTTTTTTGGGTGCGGGCCCCAATTCAACTGCTGCAGCCCAAGTTGAGAACGGACCTTACCCTTCCCCAACCACATCAACAAACAAACTACGGGTTGCGCACCCGTGTCCTCACGGTTAGTACGGTAAGTCCGGTGAGTACGGTAAGTACGGTAAGTCAATGAGTATGGGCGTTGGGCGTCGCCACACCAGTCTCCAAATGTGAGAAAGACAGAACTGTGCGATGCCATATGCACGCAGATGCCCAGAATACCATATTTCTCCAAATGTGAGAAAGACAGAACTGTGCGATGCCATATGCACGCAGATGCCCAGAATACCATATTTTTTTCTGAGTTACCTGGGGCCAGTCAGCTTCAATGATAATATCTCAAGGCCGTCGCGGAGGGGGGCAATTGTGAGGAGAAACGGGGATAGTTACGCGGAGAAGGGTGCGTGGTGGGCAGTGAGAAACGCGCGGAGGGGGAGGGGCACAGACGGGGGGGCTCGCTATGGATACGCATATGGCGAAGTCCGTGGGAGGGGTACGGCAGTCCCCCTTTCGGCATGATGCGTTGAAAGGGAGAGTAGCTCTCATCACGGGTGGAGGGTCGGGTATCGGGTTGGAGGTAGCACGGCAGCTAGGGCTCCATGGCTGCAGCGTAGCAGTCATGGGCCGCAGGCGCCAAGTTCTGGAGCAAGCCTGCAAGTCGCTAGCTGGTGTCGGAATTGAGGTCAGTGGCTGACACGTCGTCCCATGCGAGCTACGAAATATACCCCCTTCTACACCCCCTTCTACACTCCCTTTGGGCCTCAACGCACTACTGCCGGAATGTGCAAAATGAAGCATGAAGCATGTACCTTCCGCAAAAACACAGAAAGATGCACTCGGCACCCGTCATAGGTTTTGCCTGTTTCACATTCCGCGAGTGGTGCGTCGATGCCATTTCTCTCCCCCTCCTTCCCCCTTGCTATCGAATTTCTCTTCTTCTTTGTCGTTCCTTCCTTTCCCTCCCTCCCTCTCCCGGCCCTTCTCTTCTTTACTTACGTCTTCTTGCTCCCGTTTTGCTCTCTCTCTCTCTCTCTCTCTCTCTCTCTCTCTCTCTCTCTCTCCCCGTTTCCAGGGTAATATTGTAATGCTGCTAAAGAGCTACCAACACGCACAGAGGCATCTGTCTCTCTCTCTCTCTCTCTCTCTGTGGTTGGAGTGGGCTGTGAAAGAAGAATCTTATCTTACTGGTGGACCGCGTCATCGTGCACATCAATTTTTTATTTTTATTTTAACGCCCCTTTTTTATCTTTTACTTGGTCGAGGTCGAGGATGGCCTGCCTACTGTACTGCTGGCTATGTAGGTACAACCTTTGTACTGCCTTTTCCCTGCATGCAGTACGTGTGTGCTTGGGAGGTTTGGGAGAGGAAGAACAATCAAACAGCCCGCTGGGTTTTGAAAATCTCTTGCAAACGGTCAGAACGCAAAAAAAAAAAAAAGAAAAAAAAAAAAAAAGAAAAAAAAGACACCATGAAGATCAGCTTTCAGACTTGTTTTCCCTCTCGCTCTCCTTTCTCCCTTCTTTTTAGAAAATACTAATTGGTTCTTTTTTTGTTGTTGTCAACGATTAAACAATTTGGCTCTTTTTTTTTCTTTTCTTTTCTTTTTTTTGGCTGCAATAACGCAGATAGATTTTTGAGAGATTGTTTGCAGTGGAGGTAAATTCCCGCCATTTACCTCCCGCCATTTACCTCCCACCATTTACCTCCCGCCATTTACCTCCCGCCATTTACGTGCCGGCATTTATCTCCCGCCATTTACGTCCCGCCATTTATCTCCCGCCATTTACGTCCCGCCATTTATCTCCCGCCATTTACGTCCCGCCATTTATCTCC